ATGATTAGCACATATTACACTGAGTATTGTTGGAACAGTCTTGCAAGAGCTGTTTTTAACTGTCCACAGTAAGCCTGTTGGCAATCAGAAGATACTAGCATTTTACAGATTTTAGAGGGTTTTTATTGAAAGTAACAACGCATTCAACATGTTACTAAACTGAAATAACAGTATAACAATTTTAGTAAGAGTGACTTTGCCCAAGGATGGCCATATGGGGTAGAAACATTTTGTAGCAGTGTATGTAGGATAGAAGGCAAGAATAAAAAAAGTTTCATTTGGATGATTAAAACACATCCACTGAAGACTGGAACATACCGTATTTACGCATGTATAGGCCGCAGCACAATTTTCAGACAGAAATTATAGAAAAAATAATTTTCTTGGAATATTATTTCAGGAGTATTACTAATTATGAATATAATTTTTTTTAAATGAAGTGTGATTTCGAATATAAGCCGCACCCCAGTTTTCCTCTTGAATTTTTGGCAAAAAATGTGCGGCCTATACATGCGTAAATATGGTAAATGCCTTCCTTGTGTTTTTCCATGGAAATATATAATTTTCATTGGTGAAATGCGTTAGTAGTTACCTTGAAATACTAACAGATGGTAGGAGAACTATATTCCGATTATTACTGTTAGATATCAAAATTATTGGGAGCAGAAGTAACCAGGCCTCATTCAAGAAATCTTGTTAATAACATGGGAGGGGTTAACTGCACAGTAAATGGTACCGACCATTTTCCCCGCATTTTCTGTTATTGGTCTTTCTTCGCCGTCTCTTTCCATTAAGGCGTATTTCAGTATCAATAAAATAAGGCATTGCTGTGACTGTGTGTGGTAACACTGTGCTGCATACATGGGTTGCAGGCACTACAAATTCTGCCAGTAGGTTAATGAGCCAGCAGCAATCCCTCAATCATCAGCTGTAATTTTCATGAAAGATGCTTATTTAGGAGTTATTTAAAGCTGTAATTTGTTTTTCTTTTAATACTGGATGTTATGACTGGTTTGCAGGTGGACATGCTGTAGTGCAGTCAGTTGAGGCACTATGCTACAAGCCAGACAGTCACGAGTTTGATTCCCATCGATGTCACTGGATTTTTCAGTTGACCTAATCCTTCAAGCCATACTATGGCCCTGGGGTCAACTCACCCCCTAACAGAAATGAGTACCAGGAATCTTCCTGGGCATAAAGGGCAGCCGGTGCATAAGGCTGACAACATGACAGTCATCTGTGAGTTGACTGTCTAGAAAATATGGGAGCCTTGACATCTCGCAATCCTATAGTCCTCCACAGCCTGTTACAGGGATAGCTCTACCTTTTTTAAGTAAATTTTATACAGAATTCTGGGATTTTAAACCTGAAAAAAACAGAGATGTCAAGAGGATGTAAACAGGATTGAACTGGCACTGGATCATGGGCAATTGTGGTTTGATGTTAGTGGCGTCAAATGTTTGGATTGTGATATCAGACTGTAACATAGACACCTCATCCCAAAAGTGTGCCATGTGTTAAATTTGAAACTATTTTGTGATGGTTTTTCCAGACAATCCTCATGGTTTCCCCCCCCCAACTCTTACTCTGCTCCCATCTTCCACTGGATTACTCATCACAAAGCATTAGGTGTGGGGCACCAGCGGGCAAGCTAGAATAGTGAGGGTGGGGGAACAGGCTCCGTCCTCTTGTTGCAACTTATCCCCGCCACCTGTGATAATTATTCAGCCAGTTTAGCTATAGGATTTCACTATAATTGAGAAGACTAATGCACAATGATGAATTTCCTACTGAAAGTTTATTAAAACAAATTACTAAGTTGTCATTATATTACAAAATAAATTACTGGATTTTCAGCATTGTATTAAAATCAGCTGGTGTTCGAAAGTTGTTTTCCATGATGAACATGGTTCTTTTTTGAACCTTGAACAAAGCATTCCTCCACGGTAACAAAAAAGACAAGCGTGGAACATGCCTCTGAACATCACCTGCATGGAAAGTAATTTTCTTTGTGGTTAAGGGTAAGAATCTATTCTTCACACAGATATAAGAATTAGCTTCTTCATGGTGGTATATCCTGAGTGGATACCTCAGTGTCACAGCACTAATACCAACATTGAAAATTATGAAAACACTGACTACAGGAAACAGATTATCACCAAGTTCAATGTCCCCAAGTTCGTTGTATTCATTTAACTTGAATGTCAAAGGGAAGATATTTATGGGATCAGTAATATACTTATATGCGCCAACAACACATAACGCTAAAACACTGAAGCTTGAAGTCACTTGTGCTATCTTCATATATGATATCATCGGTGCTCTGTATATTAGCTCATATTCAAGAGGTACTTTATCCATAGACTTGTATCTTTCTTCTGTCTTTTGTGAGAAAGAAATTCGACCGAATTTTCTTCTTGCCAGACAGAGGATGCCTGGATGTCCAATTAATATGCCATTTCTATAAGTCACTGCTCTTAGTACTCTGATTCTGCAGAAGGCTCTCTTCAATGAATCCGTGTATATCATGTTTTCTGTCTGGATGGGAAACCAATTTCCAACGATTTTAGAACCAAGTTCTTAACAGCACCTAAAAATAAATTCATTGCATGACAAAACATTCGACTACCTCCTGTTGGGCAAGGACTCTTGCACACACGAAATACAATTACCTAGAACCATGAGAATGTTCTGATTGTCCCTCGTCTTTTCTTTCTAGCTCTTTGTTAACATTTCAGCATTCATACTGTTCTAAATCCCATCAATTAATTTCATCCGAGCTATTGTAGTGGTTTATCTGGTCCAACAGATGCATGTAAAAATTATATTATAACTGGTTATTTCATTTGAAATGCTAATTCTGCTAACTAATTCTCATAACTAATCTAAACAGGAGGCAAAACGTTACATAACCTCACTATCAATTTATGAACACAGACCTCTAATTCGTTCCCAAGGCGCCTCCTATCAGGACGATTTGACTGTTCACAACGCATTTAATGGATATACGTAAGACATGCTAAAGCCACTTAATAAAATCAATATACTCCTTCACGCAACGGAAAATATCAACGGTTAAAGAACCTTTAAGTTAAACTTAATCAACCACTGCCTTACCGTAAAACCGCTAAAATTAGTTAATACGCCGAATGAGATATATATACACCACGGTTAACTATATGCACCGATTGCACTGCTCATTGCTCTTACTATCTTGGCCATCTTGGCTCTGGTAGAGGGAGCGATGTACATTTTTTCTTGTACATGTTTAATTTCGTTTCACACACCCCCAAACAAGCTATAGCGTCGTTTTCAGTGGTTCCTGGTTTGTTTGTTTTCATCACGTTCTAAACATTCTAAACAGTGATCACTGTAGATGAGTAAAAAGCATAACGTTTCACTGAAATCACCTTTTCCAGTATTGCTGAGTATTGAGAAATACAAGAATGTGTAAGTTTAGAAACAGAAACTTTTTAAAACATAATTCAGATGCATTCGGTTGATATTTCAAGAAAAACTAAGAAACGGGCCCGTATTTGCCTACTGAGCTGAATGCATACAAACCAATCCAGCACTATGTAAGATTTGAGGCTTTCACGGCGGTGACTATGAAGAAAGCAGTCTTCTGGGATTTACTGTGACTGTTTTAGTGAATATCAGTAGCGAGCAATTTTCATAAAATCAGTCTCTATTCTATTTTATCTAAAACTGTTTATGTACTACACAGTCCTTCAACAATACAACAAATTGTTCCTTCTTTCTTTGACTTTCACTTTCGACACAACATGATTCCGCCCTAAATGGCCAGCTTCAGGTGTCTTATTATGTTAAAACTGCTACACTGCACTAATATTCTCCATTCGTCACACATGCGACTGCACGCTTCATGATGTAAAACGTCATAATCGTAATAAATTTATACGCACTAAAACAGCACACACTAGAGTTCACTTAGTCTAAATCAAATAAAATCTATTAAAATTTTCTTAAATTTGTAAAATTCTTATTACGCCTCACAAGGGGTGACGGCCACTTGTTTCGATTTTTATTCTTTTCTTAAGATATTTTATTGCGGCAGCCTGTTTTTCTGTTCGTAAATCCGTTATTGTGTTACGTCTGCAATCTGTAGTTTTGCCCCTTGCTTGTGCGTTGTTCTTTCTAGCAGCGTGCGATGTTGTCTTCACAAGTGTGAGATGGGGCTGCCAGCCTGTGAGTTGGTCAGTACAGTGGGATGAGCTGGTTGGTGAGTGAGTTAGAGGACTGCTGCGGGTTAGTCCTCGTAAACTTTTGCTGTGAGAAGCTGGTAGCTGAGGCCGTCGACAGTTCGGGAACCCAGAGGAAAGGGAACGTCCGCGGTTGGAAGCCTTACCAGAAAACTGGTGAAGAAACAGCAGGCTGAGAAGACTTAGTACGTGCTATAGTGATTTGCAAAGTGTCCGAATTAGCGATAGCGCTATAGTTATTTGTAGTTACGAGTTGGAAGTGTTGAATATAGCCAATCATCAATCCAAACCCATTCTATAATCAATCATGTGACAATATAGAAAATCGGCACCCATAAAGCTGCTGTTTTGTGCAATTTTAAAACGATTGGTATGAGCTAGCACCTACCTCGAAAAGTGAGAATTCAGAAAATCAGAATCCCCGATGTAATTTTCGTTTTCATCTTCCTTCTTACACACCTAAATCTATTTCCTGTAAACCTGCTAGCTGCCCGGCTTGTTACATACCAAATCTGGTACACCTTGACAAGTCATTACGGATGAACACAGTGCTATGTTAGCATGTTTTTGAGTAACTGTCGCGTACGAGATTTCCCATTTTCCTTAATTTTTTAACCTACGCCGTGCACCGCCCTACGCCATTTGAACTAAAGCGCCTCTAGCGGTACGGCTCTGGACCAAGAACGATGGGAATTGTGGGCTCGTTCGTGGGTGGTTCTGTGATTTCTGTGATCAACCGATCAGCCCCTCCCCGACCTCACCGATTCGCGCAGATCCGCGCAGATCGGCGCAGATCATGTCAGTTTACGTCGAGCCGCTGTGCTCTAAGGCTCTAAGGTTCGTGGTCGGGTGTTGTTATTTATAATGTGCTTTTTACTAGTCTGTACAGACATACACTGAATAACATTATCGAAACATGTTCGTATTGTAACTCTGTGGGTGTTCTACACCATATGGAGATCAATTCAGATACCGGGATGCTGACAGAAACGGCGGTTATGAATGAGGAAACTTCAACAATGATACTATTTTAAACTTGTCGTTTCGGTAAGTATCTCTAAGAATTATCAGTTGCCACTATGTCTGCCGTTTCATGCCACTGTCGCTGTTGTTAATGAAATAATGTGCCAGTAAAATTATGGAACACAATTCTCAGATGTAACACACAAACCCAAGATCGTGAAAGAAACGGTGCCGGTTAAAAATTAAGATGTTCCATGCTGATGTTTGTTGAAATGTGACGGCCAAAGACTCAGGTAAAAATCGGAAGGGTTGCCCAGGCAGGTGATTAGGTCAGCAAAGCGATTCTCGACAATTATAAATAGTTTACTCGACTATCTCCTCCTCCATCAGAATCACAGTAAACAATCTTAGTAATCAAAGAACAAAGGGAACCACAATTAAATTAAAACTTCCTGATGTTTAATTATTCGTTATTTACAAATAATATGTTTTTGGACAATATCAGTCGTCCGGAGACAGACATTAGCTCTATCGAATGGGCCCAGCTGAGTAGGTTTTACCTGAAGACAGAGATAGAATTCAGTCTCCGAAACGTTGTGTTTGAAATATAAAACAGGACGATGGATAATGTCCAGAAACATTACATTTGTATTAATGTACTATCGTCAAAGACTTTCAGAGCGTTCCAGCAACTGTATGAGCTAAATTAATCATGTTTCTGCTGACAGACGGAAGGAATTAAAGTCTCTTGATCCATTTATTGTGATTCTCGACATTCCTCAATGGCTGCAGATTCCAAACCGTGGATGCCTGATCCGTTGTGGTTCACCGATTGTTTTTGAAGTGAGTTCGCGCGCTCTCACACAGAATAACAGCAACCTTACGGTGACTAATTTATTGTCCACGAATATAATTTTAGAGTTAAATCAGAGAACAACATAACACAGACGATGCACTGCTGCAATTTAGATTTGTGTGTGTATTCATGGTTTAATGGCAGTTAGGCTAGTCAATATTTTAGAATATATGCAATAAAAGGAAAAGCTGTCCCTGTAACAGGCCGTGGAGGCCCACAGGTTTGTGAGACGTCGAGACTCCCACATTTTCTAGACAGTCGGCTCACAGATGGCTGTCTGGTTGTCTGGTGAGGCTGGAAGAATTAGATTAATAGAAAATACCCACCTTATTGGGACTCGAACCCGCGACCTTCCATCTTGTAACATAGTGCCTCAACTAACTATGCTACCGCGGGGTATACAGTTGGAAAAGGACGCATCATACACTACGGGAAGAAAGTCCTGGGTGTTTAACGAGGTATCGGTATGGAACTACGGGTCGTCGGTTAGGGGCATTACTGAGAAAACAAGAAGTTCTTGTAAGAACTAATCGCTTACTTCCCTTGACACGACACTGACCGTACAAAAAATGACGCGCCCAAGAATTTTTCTATTGTTAGATGTGTATTCGTTGCGTCGGTAACGTTTTTACCGAGCAGAGATAGAGGGATTTTTACCGAGACGTTGCCTAGCAACTACAGGGAGTACACATGCAGATTAATAGGAGGGATTTATGAAGTAAGCTGTTGAGAGGGGTTCAGGTGCCATGATATACATATTTCAATTTGATAAGGGGGGGGGATATATACAGACACACAGACAGCATGGTTTTCAAAAATGTTTTAGATGAGCCTTGTACGTTCCGACATTACGAATAAAGTGTTCGTGGTATGATGTTACGTGAAAACCGCCAGCCTCTAACAAGAGGAGAATGTTTGTCACATTTCGGTTTGCCGGAAAGTTCAGCATATAAATATTTCTTTGATTAGCACTTCAGATATTCGTTTAATTGATTTTTAAATTCCGAAATTGCGGCTTTATGAGGCTGTGGGAGTAAATTATAACACGCGCTTCCCTTAAAATTCAGTAGGCGAAGCTATGGCCCTCATGGCGAGGATTGCAAGAACTACAGATTAACAGTTCGGCACAGTCATCAAGTCTGCAGTTGCTGGCATGTAAAATGTAGCCTCATGAATAATCTGTGACGTGTTCGTGACTCATCGCCATCAAATCAAGAGCTAAATGTAACAGGTCCTCCCCAGACTCGAGGTTTATATTCTCGGAAATGTGCGCTGTTGGCAAGGCCATAATCTTACAGAAATGTGGATGTCAGAGAGGCTGCCAAGTTACCCCGTTCGTTTATTAAACACAAAATGTATATGTAATAACACGTTGAAAAATAAGTGAGATGTAATGTAAACGGGTACCACAAAAAGACGCACCGCAGTTGTAAACCGGAAAGTAGGTAGCTGGTTTTGCGTGTCGTTGTAGACTTCATTCATTCCTCAGTGGCTCTACAGCTCTGTATTGGCCCCTGACCGTTTTATTTTCAGTTTCCTAATCCTGTACACCCGTCTAATCTCATTGCCTTGTCGTCGACTCAGCCTCTGACAGAAATGAGTACCAGGAATCTTCCCGTAAAACGCGGCCGGCGCGTAAGGCTGACAACGTCGCCGCCATCTGTGAGTCGTTTGTCTAGAAAATGTGGCAGCCTCGACATCTCACAACCCTATGGGCCTCCACGGCCTTCTACAGGGATACTTTTATCTTTGTTTTATTTTTGTACACAGTCGGTATTACTCCTTGGACGGGGGATCAGCCCATCGTAGGGCCGCAACCTACACACAGGACAGCACAAACGCAGTATAAACGCAGGCAGACATCCATGCCTCGAGTAGGATCCAAACCCACGGCTCCAGTGTTCGAGCGGGCGAAGACAGTTCATGTCTTAGGGCGGCCGTACACCAACTGCTTCAAGATAAGCATTAAGACATGAGACAAAATACGCAGTCTTGCTTCATTCGTGATTCGTCAGCATGAGCTGACGTCAGCATCATGACTCCGACCGGTGTGTGGCGGTTTTCATAATCTCGTTAGTTTCAACTGTGCTCCTTTCTTTGCGTCACGTCGCAGACATCGTGTCTTGACTGTTACATGTCCTGACGCATGCCGGTGTGAGGCCTATCTAAAGGGGCGTCCACATTACTCGTGCTCGTGCTCGCCAGGCTTGTGCTCGTCGGGAGACTCGTCTGGCTTTTACTTGTGCTCGTAAATCTTCGTCCACACTACTTCAGTTGCTCGCCAGGCTTCGGCGCGTGAGGATCCGTATATTAACTCGTAGTGTGTATAGGCTGTAGTAGTATTTTGATTTACTGGCTATAGTTTTTAAATTTTAAATTTGCTTGTTTCGTGACTTGTCAAATCGTCCACATTACTCGCGAGCATAGCGAGTCACACGAGCACGAGCACGAGTAATGTGGACGCGCCCTTAGACCGTGCGTCTACTGTTAACGGTTGTGGTGGTCTTGCCCCAGCAAATGCAGACCTTCTTGTACGGGAGCCACCGGCCTTCTCTGGGTGTACGAAAGTTAGAAATCGCATAAACACATAAAGCCAACTGACGCTGTTTGTAAAACCATCAGTTGCAAGAAATTGCTGAATAGATCTCGCGGGATCGCCGTGTTGTTTTGCATTCAAACAATTACCGCAGCAAGAGTTTCATTGCCGCAGATTTCTCAGAGATCTGAGAGAAATTGCGTTTCCACGTCTGACGTCGGCACGCCCCGCCATATTGGTATTATTAACGACAAGAAATAAACGATTTCAACGGTGAAGATTTTGAGGTTCTTAGAGCAGTGGTCATGCAGAATTCTGTCTTCAGGCATATAACGCCCTGTAATCCATTGCAGTAAAACCGACGTTTCGGAGGAACATGTCGCCTTAATCTTCAGAATTGAAGAGTAGGCCAAGCAAGTAACCACCATGAAGCAGGCAGCAAGCGTCTCGCTGCCGATTGCATGCTGGCTCCGAAACGTCGGTTAAGCGTTACCGCTATTTAACTTGTTCGACGTTAGCATCTTCTTAAACTGTTTAGTCAGAGTCAATTAGTTTACGACTGGCGGTATACCGCCAGTCAATTCGTCTTGGTGACAACCCCTTGAGACTCACGGCCAGTAATTCCATTTTCAACTGAACACTTGCGGTAATAATCCTTATGTAACATCCTCTCTGACGAGAGGATGGATCTGTCGTTTACAATTGCTGCTGGTTCTCGCCAGCGCAGTCATTCTCAGGTCCGAGTCCCGCAGTACTCATGACTATATACTACTGTTTCAGATTCGAAATTTCCTGAACCTGGAGGGCCAGGTCCCCGCATTTATATCCTCCAGGAACAGAGAGGCCTGGTTATAACCCCAGGCACTGGGTTCCCTTTTCGTCGCCTCCTACGACTCGCAGGGCTACGGTGGAGGGATTCGACCACACCGCCACTCGGGATTTAACTCGTAACACACTAAAACTCCGCATTCTGCCCACACAATATATTTATGTGTTCCGTATGGTTCTCACAATAAACAGCGACCGTTTCCCTAAACAGCATTAACCGGTTGGGCTTTGCAATGGTGACGTAATGTGTTTCCTGTGAGGTAGAAACTGAATTCATGTATATAAAGTCCCTGCATTCCGCCCACACAGTGTATTTGTGTGTTCTGTATGGTTCTCACAATAAACAGCGGCTGTTTCCCTAAACAGCATTAACCGGTTGGGCTTTGCAATGGTGACGTAATGTGTTTCCTGTGAGGTAGAAACTGAATTCATGTATATAAAGTCCCTGCATTCCGCCCACACAGTGTATTAGTGTGTTCCGTATGGTTCTCACAATAAACAGCGACTGTTTCCCCAAACAACAGTAACCGGTTGGCCTCTGTTGAGGGGTGCAGTTGCGATAAGTGAGAAGCTGGTAGCTGAGACCGGGGACAGTTCCGGAACGTCCACAGTTGGAAACCGCTACAAAGCAACGGTTAATGAAGACTGAGAAGACTTTATGTGTGCTATAGTTACAATGTGTAACTCAGTGACGCTGTCGTGGTTATTTTTATTTACGAGCTGTAAGTGTTCAGTAAGTCCTATTACGAATCCAAAACCCGTCCTATGTCACTCGAACACGTGGCAATATCTATATTTCTTGCGGATTTATGGCCTCTATGAATTCTTGAACTCTCGGTTCCTGGTGGTTGTTACACGTATTAC